TAAAATAGTCAATTGGACAGGGACATAGAACAGCGTAATGGCTAATAAGGCCAGGAGCATAAATGAAAGATGGATGGAAGACATTAAATCATAAACAAACAAAAGGATACATGAGGTGAAGTGAAGGCATAAATACAAAAGCAGCAATTTCAGGACTATGGTGTTGTACAAAGCAAATTACTTATACAGCTTTATAAAGTATTAATAATAATAAAGGCATTAATGTAGTGAATATTTGCAGTGACTGCTTGCTGGGAAGGAACATGGCATTCTTGTACAAGTACACACACTCTCTCAACAGTAACATTTGTTTAAGTTGGAGATATGTTGAATTTCAGCCCATAAAAATGCAAGCCCAAAAAATACAATGCATTAAAATGCAAGTACAGTTAATGCAATGCTCTCTTTTTACAATTAGTGTAATTAAGCCAGCTTTTTTTGTTTCAAACACATTTGTCAATCATTTTCTTCTATACATAAATTAGGGAATACAACAGGCAATGTAATAAATAAATCAAGTCAATTCATATAGTAGGGTTGTGAAACAATAAATCATGATTAATCGCATCCAAAATAAAAGTTTGTTTACATAATATTAGGGTTGTACTGTGTATAATTATTTTGTATATATAAATACACACCCATCCATGTATACATTTAAGGAAAATGTGTTATATATATAAATATATATACAGTATATACACAAGCATATATTTCTTAAATATATACATGTATGTGTGTATTTATATAAACATTATATGTAATCCAGGTCTCAGTAAATCCAGTTTAACAGAATACAGCTTATCCTGGAAGGGTTAGGGTTATTTTGATTATTTTGGAAAAATAGGCTAGTTATCAAATTGACATTAACAAGCGGTCATCGGTGAAGATATCATTGAGTTCTTTAGGGTTAACATTGACAAATGGATCTCACCTGAACTTCACCGGTCACTACATTTTGGGCAACCCCATGTATCTGAAATCTGACTCACTCAGATGCCTTTATATCCCTAAACAGCTCCTGCAAAAACACAAATCATCAGACAGATCAAACACATGCTTCAGCCATTCCAATCAAGGTTGTGTGAGGATCTCACTGGAACAAAATCATCAAATTAAGTAAATTCATTAAAGCAACATAGGGCATATTTGGAACGCGCGTGTTTAAACTTCACAGGACATGTTGTAAATGGATCATAGGACATAAAAGCACCACATGAACGATCCGATCTCAGTGATAGAGTTCACATCAGACCCATTTACATCTCAGATCTACAAAGGAAACAGAACGGTTAACATGATACACCAAATTAAAGAAATAACAATAATAATAAATCTAAAAATCTGTGTGAAAGCGGATAAAGTGAAATATACAAAAACTCTTAAAGACCGGTAAAACAGTGGCAAAGACCAGCTCAATCAAATCTCAATCTGGATAATCTATTTGGGATGTTTATAAGAGCAGTACACAAAAGGAGTTTAATATAAATGGGATAAAAGAAAGAATCACAATACAAGCATCACATTACATAACCACATTACTAGGATCAAAGGAGGCATAATAACGAACACAGATTTCTGTTCTAGATTTCTCTTCTGATAGATTGAAGTGATGATGAAGATGGAATGAGTTTCAAATCCACAAGGCTATTTTAGTGCGATGCAATGGTTGTAATCCTATAATCCACAATGTGAGAAAAGATCACAGTCAATGGCGTTTAGTGAATCATTGTCCTCAGCGCCCCGTTGGTTAAGGCCATGTGCTGTAGCCTCGTTGCCAGCGTGGACTGCACTTGGATTCAATATCTCTAGTATCCAGCAGATGATTTAAGATAAAACCAATCAGTGCTCACAAAAGAACATGTGGAAATTAAAAGTCCTTTCTAGAAAGAAAGCAAATAGCTAACATCAGTGATCTTATGAAACAAACACAACGTCAAGTATATAAGTCAATCCATACTCACAGTTGAGCAGAAACTCAAAGAGTTCTCAACAAAGAACTTCAGAGGAGCAAGAAGGTAGCATGAGTTCAACCATTTGATTTCCCTCTACCAAACAAACTGACTTATTCTATGGTAGGTGAGTTTATATGTCCGGTTACCTCCAGGCAATAGCGCCCTCAAGCTGCTCCTGTTGTTACTACATGTGACCCAAATACATCACACTAGGACATCAACAAGAGTAGAGTAGCTCAAATACAATAATACAACAAGTAACGTTTTGTCCATTACAATGCATTGTGATTGAAATATAACAGGGGGAGCATTAAATTAATCTTTGTGATCAGTTAAGATTTTAATTATTTATCACTCAAACCCCTTTCGATGGTCTTTTGATATGAGCTCATGTTTATTGACTGATGATAGTGCACTGGAACATTAGCACTTGTGTGCTGTATAAGATTTGTCAGTAACTGTTGTAATTTGCCAGCTTTATTGATGCTAAAACTCTTACACAGCTATTTCACTTACACTGCTGACTATAAAAAAACTATTTATTTTACTGCTTCCAGTATCATTCAAGAAGTCCTTCTGGTTTTCTTCCATTTATTTCTGCTCCCTGAAAAATCATCACATGGTTGATCCATCACTACTCTGTTCCTCTCTGATAGAACGAGCTGAAAAACTCCAACAGATCTGCTGAGGCCATCACAACTTTCAAGAACCAGATAAAGCTCATCGCATTCAAATTTGAACTTGAGAGGCCCTTCATGTCCAGTTTCTTAACTAGGAAAATAGTATTTGTGATAATTCCAGTAGCACGTGAAGGCAGCAAAAGACACGCCATTTCTGCAAATACAACTAATTCACAATCATAAACAAAGCCACTTACTATATATTTCTTAAATACATATGTGGCGTTGGAGAGAGCAAACAGTACTGAGGAGGTTATAGTCTAGGTGGAACCTGCCCCAAAAACACCGACTACGCCACCCTGGGAATTTCACCCAGAGAATGATTTTCTTTATTTCCTAATTGCAATACTTTTGATTCACTTAAGGCCACACAGGTAAGTAAACAATTCAGCCAGAGACGAGGTTCAATTTTTTAAAAGAGATACATTTTATTCAATCATTAAAACACAATTCAAAACACATTCATACTTGCTGCTGAGGCTTACCAGTGGAGGAAAGGGGTCATGAAGGCACGAAGGAATCCCAGGAAAGGTCGCCACGTGAACACACAAACACTGAAAAACAACACCAGAAACACAAAAAAAAAACAGGGTAGACAACACAGCACACGAGAAGGGGATACCACCACCCGGACACCAACACCACCACCTTCGGCCCTCAGCAACTAAAAGCGGACACAAACACACACGATCAAAGGGGATTCACTCCACAACAAGAAAAAGATCAATGTAATACTTAAATGAAGAGAACAAATTGAAATAATCTTAATCACAAAATACCCAAACTGCCAGAACCAGCAATGGTTCCAGAAGGCAGTACACTAGAAAAATAAGATATAAATTCTAAGACACTTCTCAATAAACAAAGAAAAACAAAATAAACATGGATTAAAGTACATGAAACCTTGGCCAAGGAAAGCAAATTGCATAATATAACAGAATAAGACAAAGAGATATAAATGTATTAACTGGATTAGTTTATCTAACGAGATAAACTGAAATCACTGATAAAGAAACAAACTATAAATGTAAATTAACTAAATCGAAACAAAAATAATAGTAAAGAAATATAAACACTTAAAGGGATACTTCAGGATTTAGCATTAAGCTTTGTATTAGTAGAAAACCTGTAGTATTTTCAAATTACCGTCCTTTCCACCCTCATATCCCCCTGAGACGAGAGATTTACCGTAAAACTTCAAATAATAGCCGAGTCCCAAATAGACGCCTGTCTCTTTTACACGCCTGGTGTGGCTGCAGGTTTGGGTAAATAAAGGCCGGTCTCAAATAGAGGCCGGGTCTGTTTTTTAGTTTCGGGTTGTATTTAATCCTCTAAAACCGCCAGATCGCCCGCTTTTTGGCGGCCGCCAAAGCACATTTTTGTCCCTCCAAAGCCTTTTTTGATCGATGAGTGATGTAGAATAGAATGACTGCTGCGCCTGACAGGGCGCGTTACGAGCTGAGAGAGAGAGAGCGCCCCCGGCCGCGCGCGCGCACTCTCCCGTCTTCAAATAACACGAGCGCTGTCTTGCTCTCTCTCCCTCGCGCATATTAATCAAAATCAATTGACGCGATAGTAAAAGGTCGGAAGACCGCAGTTTCATGTGGAGCATTTGGAGATTTCTAGAGATTAGAGACAGGCCTATACACTCAATGAACAACATCTCAACACTAAATTAATTATAAAGGCCTGTCTCATATAGTCGCCTGTCTCAAATACAAGCCGGTGCAGTTCGACGATTTGGGTAAATAAAAGCCCGGGCTACTATTTGAAGTTTTACGGTATGTATTTTTTGTCTGGAAAAAATCCTCCGATGACGCAAAAATCGTCATTTTGCGTCATCGGAGGATTTTTTGGCCAGAGGCTAAAGACAACAGTCAGTACTAGGGGCTGTCCCGCATGTTCTCAACCCGCCCATAGAGGGTGGGATCTCACTCACAGAATGTACACATAAGCTGCGTCCCAATGTGAAGGCTGCATCCTTCGAAGGCCGCATTTGAAGGCCGATTGGCCGGATTTGAAGGCCGATTGCGTCACAGCGGCGCGACGAAGGCTGTCCCAATTCAAACACTGCGCCCTTCGAAGGCCGCATTCTAAAGCAGATTGCGTCACAGCAGTGCTAAGAAGACTGTCCCAATTCAAACTCTGCACGCTTGGAAGGCCAATTGCGTCACCGCGGCGCGACTAAGTTTGGTATGTCATTCAAATGCGACCCCAAATGCGCCCTTCGTTTCTCGGACAAACGAAGTGTACAAAAATGGACACTTCGCGGGCTACGCTTCCCCAGAATTCATAGCGCGCCGGTGACGACGCGACTCACGCGAGTTTATTCAATTAGAATGGCAGGTGTTAGTTGTGTGGTGACCGAGGAATTCAGTTATAAATGTAAGTATTGTGAATTAATTTATTAAAATAACTAGCGAAACAATTGTTAAAGGCATAAATATGGATCAAGCCCTGAGTTAAATGAAGCAAATACTAAAGTACAAAATGCTTTTCTTGCTTAGTTTTTTGGTCTTGTTTATATTATACATTTTAAAAAAAGCTTTTGGGCTACTAGACAAGCAAAAGTTATTGTATTGTTTTGGGGGGAAAAAACTAAATTAAGTGAGCTTTTGCTTAAAATAAGCAAAATAATCTGCCAAATAGTGTAAGTAAAATAATCTTGTTTTCTGTTTGATTTAAGATTATTTATCTTAACCCATTAGCAAATTATGTTATTGTTTTAAGCAAAACCTCACTTAATTTTAAGTTATTTTCCCCCAAAGCAAGAAATGTTTTATTTGTCTAGTAGGCTAAATGCTTCTTGATTTAAGAATTTTTAGATGTTTGAACTAGAAACAAGACACAATATTAATAAACTTTTTTGCAGTGAATTTCAAGTAGGAGGGTATATTGAAGTAAATAAAACAGCAGCACAAATCCAGCTGAAATGTGGTAGATAAACATAGCGGTGTCTGCAATACATTATTTAATTTACCCAAAATAGCTAGCAAAACAAGTGTTAAAACCCAGGGATGTTTCTTAAAAAAACCTGAACTTAAACTAAAAAACTGCAGCTTCATTTATGAGGCAAAACCTGTTATAATACTTTTTGTTTCAGGGACCAAGGAGCAGACGGCTGCATTTATAAAATTACGGGCCGAAAATGACCACTTGTTTACAGGGGCCAAAAACTCGGCCACTGTGGCTTGGAGGTAAAATCATTAACCATTTGTAATATTTCCACTAGCTGCCTCTTGTATACAAAAATTAGCCCTCACCCTGTACAAAGCCCACAGCAATGAGACAAGAACTAGTTAAGGCAATAGTCTTTCACTTACTGTTTTTTTTCAACAAACATTTTAAGCAAACTTGAGGATCCAGGAATATAATTTCTGGTATTTTGTATGCATGTACTGCTGTGTGATTTTCTAATGTTAAGATTGCACCCCTGTCTTAATATTTTTCGTAAAGTCCTAACCCTAACCTTTTTCTCCTTTTTTTTTAGGAGAATTCTGGAGAAAATGGACCTGCTAGGGAAGGTCACTCCCTTGCAGGCCAAAAGAAAATGGGACAACTTAAAAAAAAAAATACAAAGAAAGCAAGTTAATTGACACATCTTTGCTGAAATGTATTGTGGTGTTCTTCTTGTTAACAACAGGTATGGTGTATTTGCTCTGCCTTAGGATTGCAAGTGTCCTGGGACAGGTGAGGGGGTGAGCGGGAAATCCACTGCTGCAACTTGGCCCTGGTTTGTCCACATGGATGAGGTCTTGGGACAGAGGCCTTCCAACAACCCCCCTGTCCTAATTGCCTCCATCCCTGAGGACAAACCTGGGCCAAGTTCAGCGGTGGCTGACCAAGATAAAGAGCCAGCCCCAGCAGCCGCAGCCCCAGCAGCCAGAGCCGATGCAGTCCCAGACCCAGCAGCCAGAGCCCCAGCAGCCGCAGCCCCAGCAGCCAGAGCCCCAGCAGTCCCAGCCCCAGCACCCAGAGCCCCAGCAGTCCCAGCCCCAGCAGCCAGAGCCCCAGCAGTCCCAGCCCCAGCAGCCAGAGCCCCAGCCAACAGAAGAAGAGGCAGCGACGAGCTCATTGAGCTAATGAGGGAGGACATGAGGTTTCAAAGGGAAACAGAGGAGAGGAGAGCACAAGAGAGCAGGGATCGAATGGACAGACTGTTTACTTTACTTGAGAGAATGATTGAAAAATATATATATAATTAAGTTTTTGTATTTATGTTTTTTGTCATTGATTTAAGTTATTTTGTCACTAATTTAAGTTATTTGTAAATGAGGCAAGGCAATTTTTATTCATTGTTTATTTTTGTAATGCGAATTTTTTTTTTTATTTACATTTGGAAATAAAACAATAATTATTCTGGACATTGTTGACTTCTATACATGTTTTTTTTTAGCATGTAAAATGAAAATTATTTCAAGTACTTTTTACAAATATTTACAACAATAGGAAAATAATTCAAATTAACGGTACATAAAACAGATTGGAAAAACAAAAACAACAAAATGTACGCTTTTAGCTGAACAGGTAGACCCTGATGGTGCTGCTGGGCTGGGATGGGCTCCACAATAGAGACCCTGGTAAAGCCTCCTGCTGGTGGGACATCATCTGGGATGGGCTCCAGTCCAGAGTGTTTGAGTGCATGTTTCCACTATCCACTAAGTTGTCTCAATAGGTTTGCAGGGCTGACTCAATCGACGGCTGCCATCTCACTGAGATAATTTTAAAAAGAGGGAAGAATAAAATTAATTAACTTGCGTCCTCAATTCAAAGCGTAAAATATTTCAACATGTAAACCCATTCTATGGACATTCATTTGTGGTCTTGGCCATTATAGCTTTACAGTTCTCTGACTTGCCTGTTACAAGTAGTCGTGGTCGATGGGAACCTCCTCCAGGGCAGACACCTCTGCAGTCAGCCGGTCACGCCAGGGAGCACCGCTGACTGTCTCCAAAACATGCTCCCCCTCATCCTCTGCATCATCCTCCTCGTGCTCATCCTCCGGGGCCATGATGTCACCAACCCCAAGACAGATGTTGTGGAGGATGGCACAGGCTGTGATGACCTGAATTGAAAAAACAAAACAAGAAATGATATGGTCTGGAAAAAAGATCTTCATTATTTTTATGTTTTTTGCAAATGTATTTTCAATTCACTTACATGAGGTACAAAAGTGTGGTGCACCTCCAGCGCTTTCAGGAAGATGGATCGGAACCTGGTCTTCATCATCCCAAAAGCACGCTCTATAATGGAGCGTGCCCTGGAATGATGAAGATTAAAGCGCTGGGGTCCCACTCCTCGTACTGGCCTCTTGTAGGGAGTGATGAGGGGGAGCGGGTGTTGGAGACATGGGTACCCTCCGTCTGCGAGGATGAAGTGCCCTGGAGGAGGGTACACTGACCTCCTGTACAGTGGGCTGTACCGGAGCACTCGTGCATCATGCACTGACCCGGGCCAGCCCACGTAGGTGTCAATGAAGCGGCCCTGATGGTCACAAACAGCCTGCAGGATGATGGACGGGAACAGTTTCCTGTTCCTGTAGCACTGACCATCAGGGTCGCTTGGAGGCTTGATGCGGACATGGCAGCCGTCGATTGCTCCTGCAGCTTTCAAGAAAGCTCGGTGTCTGGCCAGCCCTGAAAACCCACGGCAAACTGCCTCCAGGTCTTCTGGGGTGTTGGGGAAATGAATGACTTGGTGGCGAATGGCCACCACCTCCTCAGCGACCCGGTGGACAATGCGGTGGACAGTGGAACGAGGCATGTCAAACACTCTGGAGACAACCCTGTATGATGTGCCACACGCAAGCCAGAAAAGAAATACCAGGGTCTCTATTGTGGAACCCCATCCGTGTTGGCGTTCAGTCCTCAACAGGCCCAGCAGCACTCTCAGGGCCTCCCTGCTCAGCCGAAAATCAGGTCGTGTGTCCAAATCATTAAAAAAACTGTCCAGAACTGGCACGCTCAGGTTGATCCTGCAGTACAGGGGTCTGGTCTGATTTAGGGAAAGAAACAAAAGAGTTTTAATAAACTACTTTTATTTAGTATGTATTATATGTATTATGCATAAAAAACCCTCGTTGTCAGGGTTTTTAGATATGTGTATGTTGCATTTTAATTCTGAATATGTTGAAGGGTTTTATATTAAAAGTACTTTACTGTTAAGTAGTTTACAATACAACAATGCATAATATTGTAAAAGACGATGTTTTTGTAGTGTTGCTATCCTGTGTGAGAGAAAACACCCTCATTACTTCACATTTATACGTGAATACTTAACGAATGTACTTGCTTATTTTTTTAAATGATTTATTTTTCACAATATTAAGGAATTGTTGCTAACAACAGATGCGTCCCATATAAGGCTGTATCCGAAGTCGAGCGGGAGTACCGTTGCAGGATTGTTTTTTTAAAAAGGGCATATTTCACTTTATTTATTTATTGTTTTGTGTTTTATGCTTCAATTGCGTTAAAACAAAACACGCTGGAAACATGCATAAATAAGATCACTATGATCAAGAGAATAAACTCCATAAAAATCACATCTTCATAAGGTAGGCTATAAATGAACATTTGAACAGCTTTATGTGTATTTAGTATTTTCATAAGTACCATTACATTACTCAAGTACACCCAATACTTATGTACATTTTAAAGTGTACTGCAGCAATTAAATTTGCAACTTCTGAATTGGGATGCAGCAAACCAGATTACCTTACCTGGCCACGGTCTTGATCAAGCCGGAGATACATCACCCGGCGGCGCCGGGGATGAATCCCCACCATCTCCTCCAGCAAAACATAAAAGATAAAAAGAAAAATGATATATTCTTGCTCCATTTCAACAAGTAATGCCGTGTAGAATGGTAGCTCTCTCCTATCACCGCGTTGCTAGGCGACAGCATAATGGGGAACACCTGGTGGCGCAATTACAAATCATACGAAGGCTATATGGTGCGTCCTTCGAAGGACGAATAGGCTGCATCCTTCGAAGTCCGCGGCCTTCGAAGGATGCAGCCTTCACATTGGGACACAGCTATAGTGTCAGACATCTTTTTTGGAAGCTAAGCTAACAGGCTCTTGTTCTGTGGAGAAAGCTGAGTAACTTAGTAGGAGAAAGCTGATTGGTAGGGGTTACCATTCATCCTCTTTTTGTCCAGCCGTCGAGATCATACAAAATGTCCAGGATTCAGCTTTTGCTTTCTGCAGTCGCCATTCATTGTTTACATGCACACCTTTTGTTTCAATCTAACTGAATTCATTCCGATTGGTGAATCTGAATGTAGTGTTTACATGAACGCTAAACAAGTGATCGGTTGATGTGCGTTTTAACATTGCTAAGAAAATTCCCGCTCCTCCGTGAGAGATACGAGACCGGAGCGTCTCACAGGTGTCGCTCATCAGTAATCACGCCACCAGCCTCGTCCTGCTCGCCACAGTAAACATAATGAATGACGACTGTAGAACGCAAAAGCCGAATCCCGGACATTTTGGGCGATCTCGAAATCCCAGGCAGACTCATCACGGAGACTCACTAGTAGCCTAGACTTGTTGTTTAACTACTGCGCTCCGTTACCGGTAGGCGTGGCCTCCTAGGGCAGTGAAACAAGTGCATTCTGGGAGTTGTTGTCTTTCATCCACATAAGCCAAAAATACATTTTCTGGCTTTTCTCAGTCTAGAAAGCTCCAAATTCAAAACTAATTTCACATTTCTTCTACATAAATGACTCATTTTAAATACACATTCATCTTTCCAGAGGTGAAGTATCCCTTTAACCCAAATTATAACGAAAGAGCCAACCACTTCAACTGCATCAAACAGTTAAAATACTAGCCCGCGTCAAACTGGAGGCTCGCACATTCAAACGTATGGCCGTGATTGCCCAGTGGCCGTGAAGGCAGAACGGGTGGACAGCAATCAGTAACGTTCCTTGTAAAAATGTTCACAACTTGCACATTAGATGAGTGTAGCACAGTGCAGCGATCAAGTAGAGCTGTTGGTTTAATGTTCAAAAACGTACACAATTACAGCTGTCCAGGGCGGGCATGCAGCGATCGACTAAAGTTGATGATACAATGTTCAAAATATGCACGTTAGGCAAGCAATATTCCAGGACGGGCGTGCAGAAAGCAAATAAGGTTAAAATTGCTGATACGATATTCAAAATGCACGTTTAACGAACAGCAATCCAGGCAAAACAGCAGCTAGTGAATCTCCAGATGAACCAGCCCAGTTCCTGTTATTTATTTTAAAAAAACGAATTAACCCCAAATCAAACAAATAAATCCTACATCATGTATCCTACATACCGATCAAGCAGCGTTTGTATCACCCAGGAGAAGGCAGCTCAACGGGTACCAACAGTACAGGCAGCTTTCAGTATCATCCGCTTTTAAATGCGTTGAACAACAGAGTGAAGGACTGGCCCGCCAACCGGAGATCTACGATCGTTCAATGCATAGTAAACATAACGGCAGCCCATAACAGTGAAATAGATTCAGAGACAGCAGAGTCGCTACTTTACCTGTAGACGCGCAGCAGCAAAACACAGAGTGAGTGACCCGGAAGTATGACGCACTTCCGTCACCAGCGAGCAAGAGGGCAG